CCGAGCCCCCGCCCACCACCGAGCCCCGCCCCGTGCGCGCTGCGGACCCGCACCTGAGCCCACATGTCCGGCTGTCCGTCCCTGCCCGCACCTAAGCCAAGGCCCCAGCACTGGGGCTGCGGGTGCTGCGTGTGCCCAGCCCCGCTCCCAGAGGCCAGCGCTGCCCCTGCCCAGCGCTGCCCCACTGGTCCTGCCTCGGCTGCACTGCCCCTGGTGTTGCTCTCTCCACAAGCTACCCCTTCCCCGCGTTTTCCTGCCTTGGCACCTCTGCTTTCCATGCTCTTTTAGCTGCACCAGCTCCCTAATGCTGTCCTGTGCGTTTCCCTTCAGGGGCAAATAGCAGTGAGGATCTCCAGGTGAGGCTCGATGGAGGTGCTTCCCTCCCTTGCCGGCAGCCAGCTTGAAGGGAGCATGTGATCCTGAAGCCTCTAGGCCAAGGCCACCTCCCTGGCAGTGTTCCCAGGGCTCTCCCCTGTCTGGCTGTGCTATCCCACTGGTGTGCCCTGTTTTTCTTCAGCCCCACAAATGCCCCCTGCTGAAAGACAGACAGCGCTGTGCTGGGCTGTACTGTACTGTGCTATGCCATGCCCCTGCTCCCTTCTTGTTCTGCCAGGGCAGGCACAGTGCAAGCTGTCAGAAACACGCCGGTTCTCTGTGCTGCATGTACAAAAATCAGGGAACTCCTGGCAGGCAGCCTGTGTGCCAGAGAGCCCACAGCCAAAAGGTGTCAGGTCTGACCATGGTGAGTCCTAACACAGAGCACTTCTGCCTGGGACTAAAAGCTGTGTGGTTGTGTAAAGGTGTGCTGTGTGTGGGTAGTGTGCTGGTTTGCATACTGCTGATGAGGCAAGGGTTATGTGAGGGCACACATCTGATCCTTCTCCACTTACATACAAAAAAATGTAGGAAATGCACACAGAAAAAGCCTGTGTTAAATGACACTGAAGCAGTCAGAAATTACAGAACACCAGAGTTCAAATTCTCAATCCATAGCCCAGCTCAGCTGGCTGTTGCTTGGGCTTTATGATACATTCTGTAATTAGAAGATTATATTTTTTTCCCCCTCAGGAGATTGTCTCTGTCAGTGCTTGAGAGTGATGGAATTTGGAGGATGAGATGGGTCTGGGTAAGGAAAGAGGCAGGTTTGTGTGAGCAGGAGTTGGAGAAGACTGAATGGCACAGGCAGTAGCAAGGAGGGGAAAGTTGGGAACCTGGAGTGGCAACCAGCAATGGCTCTGCACTTGCCAGAGCTGATGGATGTACTGTGTAGATCACCAAACACATTCTAGTTAGATCAAACATTTTTGTAGCTGGCTGCTCTCTAATTCAGTGTACCTGCCTTGAGCACTGAGGATCTGGCAGGAATATCTGCTAAATGCTCCTGAACTAAACCTCAGCTGCAATTAATGGCAGTTGAACTTTGAAGGTGTGCTGCAGAATAAACATCACCCTTGGGTGTTACAATGAGACACCTAAGCTTTGTGTATCTTTTTGACCAAAATCCTTGGCTAATACCTATTCAGAAGGGCCAAGGCTCAAAGCTTATGTTTTATAAATTAAATCTGAGATCTTCTTTCCATAATTCTTTGTGGTCAAGTTAAGCAGTAGTGGCTTCATGTTAAGCAGATCCAGTTATTTAGATAACATAATGGAAATAAATAACATGCATATTTTGCAGTCCTGGTGTAGAGAGTATTTCAAGTTTATGCAGATTAATAAACTTTTGACTTTTATAAATTGATGTGCCAGGCCAAGAGTGATTTGAGCTTGCACATGCTTTTCATTCCTGCAGAAGACTAGTAGGGCTAACTTCCAAGAATAGAGGCAGATGAGAAGATTCACTTTTTCGTAGGTTTTTGTCACTTGTGACACTCATAAAGGTGTCTTGTGCAAAGTGTGCATTTTCAAAGTAAATACATCCACCATCTGAAAGATTGCAGTGTTCTGTGAAGGAAAAAGGATTACATTCTTGGTGCAATTGATCCTTGTATCTCCCCACATCTTTATTGTTATTAACTAATAGTAACATAATAGTAAGTTTATGAGCTTTGTATTCAGTTTGAAATTACGGATTTGTAGCCTGAGTTCAGTTGATGGGAGCTGGTGGGAAGGAATGGGTTTTATTGGATTAACTTCTGGAGAGAATTTTGATTATTGGCTGACATATGTGTCTGTGCATTTTCTTAACAAGATAAAATTATTTCTTAAAACCTTTCTGTTTCGATCTTGACAGGAGAAATTATTACATTTGAAGTGTGCAGTTGTTGGCACGCTAGGTGAGGAATAAAACCCTGTGATAACTGGTTGAATAATAGTCACAAACATCCTCTCAAGTGACTTCAGGGTCAGCTTTCAAATAAATTATTTGCAGGTGCATTTTGGCATCATTCAAGAGGGTCAAATAAATTATTCCTCTTTCACCTAATTATCAAAGTATCAATGTGAGTAAAAATGTCTAGATAAAACAGAGAGAAGCATATGGAGGAAGCAAAGAGCAGCTGGGATTTTCTTTGGGCTTTTTACATCCATTGAGGGGTTGCACAAGCTGCTGGTGTTGTGTTGCACATTATGTATTGATTTATATATATATGTTATATATTTACATGATTTATAACGAACCTTTTAGGTAAAGGGGATGTTTTTGAAGCAAGTGCCTTGCTTTTTCAAGAGTTTGGCATAAGCAGGCTGTGGGTATTTTTTTAAGATTGAGACATGAGCATAAAGAAGCAAATGAAGACACATGCCGGTTTTAAAACAGTTTCCAATTTGTCACACAATTACCTCCAAGCAGAGAAGTTTTGAGGAGCTTATTCTGATTTGGTAAAGATTTAGGTCAGAGATAACTGGATTTTTTAGATCACATCTATGCTGCATGGCATGGGAATTACAGGCTCCTTGCATTTATTTGCTCAATAGCTTTGTCACTTAGTAAACCAAACCATCTGAAGTGAGTGCAAATAAAACACTTTTTGGTGTAGTGATACTGGATATTGGCTCCTCAAGATTCCAGCTACGTTAAGTTGCCGTGGCAAAGACCCTGCTACGGCAGCAGAGAGAACAGCCTTGCAGGAGCGGTGGAGCCTGGGCGGGGTTGATCCTTATCAGCATCCCCCGGGCTGTGATAAACCCTGTCCCTTGTGGTTTCAGAGGCTGCGGAGTGGCGTTGTCAGAGATCTTGAGCGTCAGAATCAGAAAAAGGAGAACATTCGCCTGTTAGAAGAGCAGATTGCTCTGACAAAGCAGCTCCTGGAAGAGAGAGACAAGGCGCTAATGGAAAAACGTTCGCAGCAGTCCTAGGCGCTGGCCTGGCTCCTTAGAGGTTTGATTAAAGATGTTTGAAGGTCATTTGCATCTCACTTCTTGCAGGTGTTTTAATAAACACGGGTAATCTGTGAAAGACTGGTTATTTTGTATAAATTTAATCCAGCCTCTTTAGGCTTTAGGGCAGACAAAAACCCATTTCCTCTGTGATTGGTACTTGGACTGTGGAGACTTGGCTGCGGCACATCCCATGTGGATGGACTGAAGGTGGGGAGGTAACAGCTCACTGTTGTGCAGCATCCCTCTAAGATGGCCAACAACGTGCACATGAGTGGGCTGCTCAGCCGCCACGACGATGAAGCCACCAGGACCTCCACCTCTGAGGGCCTGGAGGAGGGCGAGGTGGAAGGGGAGACTCTCCTGATTGTGGAGTCTGAGGACCAGGCTTCCGTGGATTTATCGCACGACCAGAGCGGGGACTCCCTGAACAGCGATGAGGGTGAAGCGTCCTGGATGGAGGAGATGTCCTATTACTGTGAGAAATGTCAGAAGTGGATCCCAGCAAGTAAGGCTGCCAGTTGTGTTGTGCCTGGCCGTGGTGGGTGTTTGCAAGGTGTTTGTGCTGTCCTGTGTTCCTGTTTCACAGCTTGTTGGGCTGTACCCTGGCCTGTCTTGGTGGGTGATGCCTGCTGGCAGGGGCTGTGTTAGACACTTCAGCCCAGCAGCTCGGTGTGTCCAGAGCTGGTGCTCTCTCTAATAAAATCAAACTGTCTTCTTCAATTGGTAGAGAACATTAAAGTTCAGAAACGTGCCCACCCTCACAATTCTTGCAGCTGTTTAAGGGCTTGGGCCAAGCGCCCTGACCTCTCTGCTCACTCAGATAATGACACTTGCTGTAAAGCTCTGGGGAGGAAAAGGACTTTGTGTGTTAATTTTTTCCCCCCCTGTTGATTTGTCACATCTGTGGAGCATATGGCTAAATCTCAACCTTTATGTTTTCCCAATAATGTGAATTTAAGTTGGCTTAGAAACGTGCCCAGCCTTCAGCAGCCAGCTCTGGGGCGTGTTTGGAGCAAGCTGCAGAATTTGATGCCTCTCCATAAGATATACGCTGTTAGCAGTGTAATAGACAACTTTACTTTCTAAATTCTGGATTATCTGATCTGTTACTATATTCAAAAGCCAGGTATTGCTAAACAGCGGTTGGCTTTGGTTTTGGTGATGGGTTTTTTTGTTTGGTTTGATTTGGGGGTTTTATGTTTTTTTGTCTGTTTGTTTGTGGTTAGAAATTATGAACTGTTTAGGTGGCACCTGCCTTGCAGATATGTCAGAGCTGCCCTTTTTGACTTCTTAGAATTTGCCTAAATTTACAGTATAAAAATCTCTCAAGGCGTGTTAGTGAATGTTTAGTTGTTAATATAATGAAACCAGCACCAGACTATTAAATTACTACAGAGTAAAGGGAAATATTAACTTGAAATATATTAATAAAAAAATGGAGCAGAGTTAAAGGTAGCATGAGCTATCTCATGCTGGAGCACCTGGTTTTACACTCAACTTGTTTTATTTTACACGTATGTTCCTCTCCACAGTTGCTGGAACAATGCAAAGAGCAGAAAAGGCCAGTTGCAAAGCAGCAGTAGCCACATACAAATGTGCAGAGTAAACGAGCTGTCAAAGGGAGATACTTTGCTTTTTCCTAATCATTCACTTCTAGGGAGTTCCGTTGTCACTTGTGAAAATGCCCACCGTGCTCAGGCAAATTACTTTATTACTTGAATTGGCATTTAGAAATCCTCTTGATCTACTAATGGTGGGGTTTTTTTCCCCTCATCAGACACAGTTGCAACTTGAATCCCCAATTCAGCATGGAAGCAGGGTATCCCTATGTTAAAAATGCTTGATCTGGTGTCGTTATACGGTAAAAGAGGTGACATCCTAGTAGCAAAATACCTTTTGAGTGTGACTTTCCAGAAACACTCTAGTCTTAACAGTTTCCCTGTCCTCTAGTGTAATTTTTCACTTCTTTATGTTTGTGTAAATTAACTCCTGGTGAGTTTAGAAGCCCTGATTCATATGATCTTTTTTCCTCTGCTGTAGAAACACAGAATTAGAGCCTGTAACTTTGGGTGCATGGGGGTTTCCAGGTGGTTCTGTCATTTTTGTTCAGATAAACTTGATCTTGGAAGAAATCCAAATTTTATTTGCAGCACTTTTTCCTATAAAAGGACAGAAAGATTGATTTTTACCTTTTCATTTTAGGTCAACTGAGAGAACAGCTCAGCTACCTCAAAGGAGATAACTTCTTCAGATTTACTTGCTCTGATTGCTCAGAAGATGGGAAGGAGCAATTTGAACGTCTGAGATTAACATGGCAACAAGTAAGTGAGATGTTTGTGCCAGCAGAACAACTGTGGGACTTTCAGAAATTGTTGGTTGTTGTGTGTATGCTACCTGGAAAAGGAGGATCAGTTATTGGTAACAAAGGAGCATTTGCATGAACTTCAGAAATTAATTAGCTGAGGATTGTCTGCACATGAGAACTTCAGTATTTGGCATGGAAATTGAAAGATAATCATACAAACCACATTCCTTTTCTTTTTTTTTTCCTTCCCCTTATGTTGCTCATGAATTCATGGCTTCAAGCAGGTTTGGAAAAGCAAAATAAACGGAATTTGGCTTCTAGGCATGAACATTTTTTTGTATCTAAGAAAATGTAAACCTGGTGAGGTGGCAACATAGAAACAGAAAGCTTTCCAGCTCCCTGGTTACAAAGCTCCAACCTGGCTGCTTATGCACTGGCATCCGTCCTTGCTGGTATTCACTGTTCCAGTCGTTTGCACACCTGAGCAATCAAAATAACATCTGTTTGTATCCTTTGGGCTCATAGAATATCACAGAATCACAGGATCAGCTAGGATGGGAAAGACCTTTGAGATCATCAAGTCCAACCCATGACCTAACACCACATGGTCAACCAGACCATGGTACTGAGTGCCACATCCAGGCTTTCCTTAAACACCTCCAGGGATGGTGACTCCATCAACTCCCTGGACAGCCCATTTCAATGCCCAGTCGCTCCTTCTGTGAAGAAATTCTTCCTAATGCCCAGCCTAAACCTACCCTGGTGCAACTAAAAATGTGTCCTCTTCTCCTGTCACTTGTTCCCTGGAAGAAAAGGCTGAACCCACACCTGTCTGCACCCTCCTGTCAGGGAGTTGTAGAGAGTGATATGGTCTCCTCTGAGCCTCCTCCTCTCCAGCCTAAACACCCCCAGCTCCCTCAGCTGCTCCTCATAGGATCTATGCTCCTTGTTGCCTTTCTCTGGATGTGCCCCAGCACCTCAACATCCTTCCTAAATTGAAGGGCCCAGAACTGGACACAAGGCTTGTGGTGCAGCCTCACCAGTGCCAAGTACAAGGGAAGAAACACTGCCCTGCTTCTGCTGGCCACTATTCCTGATCCAAGGCAGGATGCTGTTGGCCTTCTTGGCCACCTGGGCACACTGCTGGCTCATGTTCAGTCTGCCGTCAGTCAGTACCCCCAGGTCCCTTTCTGCCTGGTCTCTCCCCAGCTGCTCTGCCCCCAGCCTGTAGTGCTGCAGGGGATTGTTGTGGCCAAAGTGCAGGACTCAGCACCTGGTCTTGGTAAACGTCCTGTTGTTGGGTTTGGCTCATGGTTCCAGCCTGTCCAGGCACCTCTAGGTGGTGTCAAAGGCTTTGCTGAAGTCCAGGTTGACAAAATCCACAGCCTTCCCTGGATCCCCAGGCAGGTCACCTGGTCATAAAAGGAGATCAGGCTGGTCAGGCAGGACCTGCCCCCCCTAAATCCATGCAGTAGGTGCCAGGTGATGACACTCAAGATGATCTGTTCCATAACCTTGCCAGGCACCGAGGTCAGGCTGACAGGCCTGGAGCTCTCTGGATCCTCCTTACAGCTCTTCTTACAGATGGGTGTCACACTAGCCAACCTTCAGCCATCTGATACCTCCCTGGTGAGCCAGGACTGATGGTAAATGATGGACAGCAGCTTGGTGAGCTCTTCTGCCAGCTCCCTCGGTACCCAGGGATGGATCCCATCTGGTCCCATAGACTTGTGAGCATCTGAGAGGCTCATCATGTCACCAGCTGCTTCCTCCTGAATAACGGGGCTGTTCTGCTCCCTTTCCCCATCTACCAGCTCAGGAGGCCACTTGTCCTGAGGACAAGCTGTCAGATTGTTGAAAATATCAGCCTTATTGGCTTTTCCTTGATTCTTGCCCATAGGCACTCAGCCTTATTGTCAGATAAAATAATCTGAAATCCTGCACTGCTTTCTCCTGGTGGCCAGTGCAGGTAGGGGTCTGTGCTGGCAGACTGGCAGAGTTTCACCAAGTTCCAGATGGGGAAAGCAAAGGTCTCTTCAGAGTGCCATGGGGAATGGGCAGACAAAAAGAAAATGGGTGAAGAAGAAAGTTGTGACCACCTTCCTGGGCTTCCAGCAGCCAGAGCTGCTGCTGCTTCTTGGTAAGTGGAATTGAGAGAAGTGGTCAAACTAACCTGGAGCAGGAAGAATGGGGACAGTGATTTCTGGATTTTTTTCAGAGTATATAGCCTCAACAGATCTGTATCTTTAGCCAATTGTAAAGAGAATTATTTTTAACATCTTTAGACACTGTCCCACATGACTTTAAAACCCACAAAATCCTAGTTATCAAACTGAGAGGGGTTGTGAGGTAGAAATAGGGGGATGGGACATTAAAGCTGTCCATATTTCCTCATTTTGACATCACTGACAATGCATATCAGAAAGCCAAGATCCACTGTGAGGAGATCCATCTCCCCAAGAAAAGCAGATTTCAGACTTCTTTGAGGGTGAAATGCAAGTTGTTATTGGAAGTAGAGCTGTGTGATTGTTGAAAGGTCATCCCAGCCTAGCTGACTTTAGTTTTGTTCTAATAAATTAATTAAAATTTATTAAGTAAATGTAATTAACAGTTGGTCAACTAGGATTTACTTGAAGGAGGTGAGATATTTTTCAAACCTGCCCTTTAGTTTGGGTATGTTACAGTACAGGAT